TTAGTTAAAACAAAACAAAAAAAAAATCCACCCTGTTACGTTCCACCCTAAGGCAGACAAACATAACAGGGTGGAACATGAACCTAACAGGGTGTAAAATATATGACAAAATGTAAAGGAGTGCATATCAATAATGATGTAAACATATTCAAATGTTTTGACTGTGCATGCAATTTACCAATATGTATAAAAAGGTTTTACACTTTATAATTACAAACGTTTGGCTTAATTTGTCATGCTGCAACACAGCCGTGATCAAATATATTGATCAAAACCTTGTGTGCAATCAGAGTGCATTTAAACAGTAATTATTCTAAAGTACAGCATTGTCGATACAATTTACATGATAATATAAAGTGAAACATAATATATTTGTTAGGAAATGGTTCCATCACTACGTCAGGACTCGTGAGGACAAGCAGATTGGAAAATGGCTGGCTGGATGGATGGATAATATGCAAATAGTTCCTTGCTTTGCCTCACCACCTGACTGAGATTTTGGTGTGTTTTAACTGATGCTTCTCTTCTCCTCCCTCACATCACCGCTCGGGCTCACTCTCTGAGCAGGGGCGCAAACGACGCAGGATTTCAAAATAAAATAGTTAATCCTCTCTTTCTGTCATGCCTTGATTATTTTCGTTTGAATACACATATTTAGCCAAGTGTCTATTTTGGGCAGTATTTGATTCCTAAATGACCTAATTACACTGGCTCATGCTTACCTGCCTAACCAACCACCTATTTCTATGGTTGGTAGCAATTAGGCTGCCATTATTTGGCCACATGTAGAAAATGAAAGGTTTTGATGGGACCAAACTGTTTTGGCATTCAATGTAACACACATTTCTCAACACTTTAGCATTTTATGAGTGACTCCAAAAATGCACTGGGCGCAAGACGAGTGGGAGGCAGGGCGAGATGGGTTCGGACAGACCACACATGATCGTGTTTGCATCCGCAACGTTATGAAGCATAACAGTGTTGATCATATTTGACTTTTTATCCCACTTGAAACATAAGGCATAAAGAGGATGATGGGAATATTTGAGCTGCGGGGATGGCTGATTCATGACATCGATTAAGTTGCATGCAGTCTCTGGCAAATGACGTCAACTAGTCAGAATCATCTCATTTTCGCAAATATTTGTCCCTCCTACCACCTTGCTCTTCTGTTAATCGCCATGTCGCCTTGATAGGATTTCTAGTGAGAGGCGCTGAGATGGAAGAGCAAGGAATGAGGATTTACTAAGGTGCTAATAGAGAAATGAAGTGAGCCCGCACAATGGGGTCTCCCTGGACACTCTGGAGGAGGTGGGCAACAGGAGGATACTAGCCAAGCTAAAAGCTATGATGGACAGACCCTCCCACCCCCTCCGGGCCACCCTGACAGCACTGGGCAGCTCCTTCAGCCAGAGACTGATACACCCGCGCTGCAAGGAGAGGTACTGCCGCTCGTTCCTGCCGACTGCTTTCAGGCTATTGAATAGACAGACCTGAAAACCTGGAATCACCCCTACTCACCCATTTTAATATGCTTATATTTATTTATATACTTTTTGTTCTTCTACTTCTCCCTTTCATGATTTTTGCTGCTGTGAATTGGGAATTTCTCCATTGTGAGACGAATAAAATTGTTCTTCTCTTTTCTTATCTTATATTTACATGCATCAAAGCTGCACAATGTTAAGGCGTGTTTTGTGCACATGGGTGACACTACACAGATGTATTCCAAGTACCTGTATGTATTCCAAGTACAAGTACATAACTCAACTGCAGACACTAGTTACAAGTTTTTCGTTTCTTAATGCCTCAGCAACTCGTTCCCAGAATATGAAACCCAAAGGATATCAGTCTGAGGCATGAACGAACTTGATAAGAGAATTCACTAACTTCCTTCCACTACCATTCACTCAGCAAATTGAAGTCAGGAAGCTGATGATGTACAGTGTGCAACAAATTTAACTTAGTGGTGGATAGGTACAACTGAGAAGCCTTGCCCATGTAAGGACTCAATTTAGACAACTCTTGCTCCCTTAAAAAAAAAAAAAAAAAAATCCATCCACCTATCAGTAGTCCATCTCATCATTTGCTGTACTTTGTCTTTATTCCAGCCACAGCTAAGCTGAGGCCTTTCACTGATAACGGATATGAGAACATCCTTTCCACTGGAATCCAGTTAACCAATCCAGTCCTTCCGTTTACCTTCTCCAAAACTCTTTAAAATGCTGAACTGTCAGAATTTGTTTCCATAAATCGTGGAAAGCACATGAATGACACAACAGGAAGTCACAGAGGTCACAAGACACATCAGGAGCAAGAATGCCACGACGGCGTAAAGCCCGATACTCGTGCGTTAATGTAGCAGCACAATCTGATAGCAGGATTTGAAATGCCTGGATGATTGAGAAGAAGCCATTCTGCAGTACTTTCAATCAGTTCCACAGTTACTTTTATTCATTGGACAGGCAATTAATGTGTGTGTGTGTGTGTGTGTGTGTATATATATATATATACACACACACACACA